ATATATATATATATATGTATATATATATATATATATATATATATATATATATATATATATATATATATATATATATATATATATATATATATATATATATATATATAAATAGAATTGTTACAAATCAATAAAAATTATAATACCAATTATGATACTGTAAATGGCATAAAAATCATAAGTAAATAAAATAAACTAGCAGTTTCTTTATTTAAAGATGTGTTTTCCCATTCAATATGGAATGCTTTTTTAATTTTCAATAACTGGCATTACAGCCAGCACAAGAAAATTTGTAAAAAACATTGGATTTGAGCAGCTTAGAAAGTGGACCTTTTATATAAAAACTATTTATTAATTTGTTGTTTGTGAAAATTAAATATTGTAAAAATGTTATAATTAATTTTAGAATGTATATTATTATCATTGTTTAATCAGCTTTACATTATACACATATCAGGCTTGGACAGGAATGACGTGCAACTGTACGCTGAAACTGACCACACTTATAATTTTTTTCTCTTTACAGTTTGACCACAGCTATTTTGATGCTTTAACAATTTAAATGCAACAAAAAAATTGTTTCGTTATGAATAAATTTTAATCATTGATCTTTTAAAAAGTTTTTTTATTTTATGCAAAAGCTTAAAATAAAATTAAAAATTAATTATAATGATTTGAAATAAATGCATTGTGTGTAAATTAACAAAAAATAGTATTCAATTTTTTTTTTAGGTAACCATGTATTTTTTATGATAAATTAAAATGAAAGTTATGGAAAAATAGTTTGAAACTATTTTTCCATGTCTTTCTAAAAAGATTTTAAAAGATTTTTCTTTCAAGTTACTTTAAATTATAAGTTAAATTAAATTTTCCCATTTCAATTGAATGATTTAATTGTTTTATTTTTTTTATTTTTATGTTTTTATTTTTACAAAGAATTGTTAAAAACCTTTTTTTTTTAACTTGACTTGGAGCATGAAATCATGAATCAGAGAAATAATTAAAAAATCCTATGACTATATATACTAAGATTATTTTTTTAAGCACTTTGTTTTTGCAACTTTTTGCAAAAAATAAATGTTTATACAATTTAAAAATATTATATATATATAATACTTAAACAATTTAAATAAAATTTGTTTATTCATTAAACAATAATTAGAAGTAATTTGTAAAAGTGTTTTGCGTAACTTTAGTTAAACATTTCTCAAGATAAAGTAGTTTATTTCAAACGCAATTAAAAACATAATTATGGTAAACAAAAAACAAAAAGTAATTTTCGCTTTTGAGTTTTTTGAATTTTATTTTAGTGCTTACATATTTTGATTTTCATAAGGAATTGTTTTCTTTTTTCTTTAGTTTTTTTTTTAATTTTCTTTTTCGTTTGAGTTTAGCTAAGCATTTCTTTTTCAGAGTATTTCTAATATCATTTCTAAAACATCTAAACAGTCGTGGTCAAGTTGTCAAAAATAAATTATTTGCGTGGTCAGCACTAGCGCTTGATTGCTCGCCATTCTTGCCCAAGCCTGACATATACATGATAAAAAATGACCAAGGGCCTGACCCCAGCTAAAAATGAGATCTTTTGCAAACTTGACCCCGGCTCTTATAAGAATTAAAAGGATTTTTTAATGTGCAAGGGAAAAATTGGATTAATAAAAGTTTTTATAGCATGAGTTTTTACAGCTACAGTAAAAGGATGCAACTTGTTGAATAAGAAGCCAAGCAAGAATGAGTTTTGGTTTATTGTAGTAGAGATGATAGCTCGTTTCAGCATTGACCATGATTAGAGAAAAAAGATAAAAAAGGAAGGCTAATAGCCTGATGATGATGATGATGATGATGATGATGATGATGATGATGATGATGATGATGATGATGATGATGATGATGATGATGATGATGATGATGATGATGATGATGATGATGATGATGATGATGATGATGATGATGATGATGATGATAATGATGATGATAGCCTGATGATGATGGTTTTTAATAAAACTGTTAGGCTATCAGTATAACTGTAGAGGCTTCTTGTTTGAATGGTCTTTATCAAGTTGAAATGTTGGAAAGAATAAAACAAGAACTGAAATCTGCTCTTGTGCTTGTTTGCTTTCTAGGGCACGATTTTATAAGTATTTGTAAACTTAGTTTTTCTGAATTTACTTATGGAAAAACTGAATAGGTTCCACTAAAAAATGGGTTCTTATTTTGCTCAGAATGCTGTCAAATGGTATTTAAATAGTATTGGTTATTATTTTGGAAAAAGCAAAAAAAAAAACAGCTACTCAAACTTTCCAAGCTTTGGAAAAGGTTTTTCTTTATGAAATTCAAATGTTGCTGATGATTCATTTTTGTGCTCTTTAAAATTTTTTTTTGGGTGGTTTACAAATACATTACTAAACTTGCAACTGGAGGAAATGCTCTTCCTGATATAGTGTACAGAGTGATCACCTGTAAGGCAAAAAAGAAGTGAAACCATTTTGAATTGGAGGAAAACTCATGATCTTCCAAATTGTGCATTATTAGGAATTATAAAAAAACCTGGTACTCAGAAGAATATCTAGGCTGATGCTATGAGCACACTACATAAATATTTAATTTGTTTGCAATATCAAAAATGTAAATTTAAGAGTGTTAATTTTAAAATTTAGATCAAGTTAAAATTTTGTCTAAATGCTCTTTCATAATAATGCCTTAAATTTATTAAAACAAAATATTTTAATAATAATACCTTAAATTATGGTTCCGTAAGAAAGTAGAACTAAATTTGATTTTTTTGCATAGGTCTTAAAATATTGGTTTCTGTAGACGTATATAATGGATAGCCATCATGTTTTGAGATTTTGCGAGTTCAATCTTATCTTTAATATCGATCCGGACATTTTGTATTTTGAAGCTGCTTGTCTTTGGGTTAATAAACCATTTTTAATAACTAATGTGTTATGGTGTACCTGTTCTAAAATGCAGGTAATATGCTTTCTGCTTCCATGATTTGTTTGTCACCAGAATTACTGCATTGTTACAGTTATATATTTAAACAACTATTTTAGAGTGTTTTTTTCTTACACAAAGTCTTACATATATATGTACTAATTTGAAAAATACTTAAAAACAACAATTTTGACACAATTTTGGGCCAGCAATATCAGGGCTGATCAGGAAGACATGTGATTGTACAACATTATATGACCACACAAATAATAATTTTGTTTTATTGGTTTGACCTTGTTACATGTTTTTAGAATTTTAGCATTTCAAAAATAGACAGAAAAATGTATTTTCTTGTTTGAACTTTGTTCAAACAAGAAAACAAATCTTAACAAAAGAGAAAATAGAAAGAACTCAACTAAAAGCTTAAACACCAAAAAGTAAAAAAATAACTTAAGTACAATATAACATAAAAAAGTTAATTTAAATTACGTTTGGAATAACAAACTTCGAATCTTTCATCTTTACTCATGCTTTTATTATATCATGGGAAACCCTTTTAAATAAAATAACAACTTATTTCTAACTATTGTTTAATAAATAAAAATAAATAAAACATTAAACTTATTATAGTTTTAAACTGTTATAGTTTTTAATAAAATTTTAAAATAACCATACCATAAGTAACCATACCATAAGTAACCACACCATAAGCCTTATAAAAAGTTGATGTAAATTATGTGAAGAATTATTGGGAAAAACTGAAACCATTTTAATAAAGATACTCAAAAGGGTGGCAGAAGTGATGAGGGGTGGCAGAAGTGATGAGAGGTGGCAGAAGTGTAACTTGATGTAAACATTTTACTAGAATCAGTTGTAGATGAATTTAAAACCATAGAGTAGCTTGAAAAAATGGTAGTAAAACTTGTTTTGGTAACTGAAGAACTTATGCTAATACCAGAAGTGCTTGAAAGATATTAATGCTCTAAGTAAGAGTTAAAATATTACAGTTGCAAAAAATGATTTCTATACAAAGAAAAGTGTTTTTTACTGTAGAAATCGACCTAGTGTAAAATAAATAAAAAAGAAATGTGTCTTTCAAGTTCAATATGCCCTTCAATGTAACAATTGCACTCTGTGCACAAATATTTTTTCATTGAGCTAAATTTCGTTTCCATTATCACTGCTATAAACAAAAAATTAAAAAAAAATTAACATGTCATTGTTTTCTACAAAATATCTGAAAATGAAGACATCACTTCCAGATTTCTCAGATAATGGCAAGTATATCTTTTATATAATTTTTGATTTTTCATTTGTCTTTTTTTCTTCATTTATCTAATCTTTTTTTCATTTTTTTTTTCAATCAACAAAATTAAATATTTAACTTTAATCAGAGAATTATTTTATTTAAAAATTTTATTGTTTTTCAATTTAAATTTTTTTTTGTACGATTATAATAATAATGTATACACTATTATGATGCAAATAATAATATAATTTAAAAACTTTGGCATATAAAATTCGCCGAATCGTCACACACGACCAGTGAATGTCTGAGGGAAGAAATGAAGTACATAAAAATAAAGGAGAATTATTTTCAAAGCATATTTTGACAGTTGTCAAGTAAAGTATTATCTTTACTATTATCATGTAAAGTATAATGTATGTAATAACTATATTTTTTATATAATTTATAATTTAATATAAATGATGAATCTGACTGAAGTTGTAAACGCAGAAAACATATATATGTTCAAAAATAAAATAAAATCCTCTAATTTCAAAAAAACATTTCTGTAACGTAAATAGAGGAACAAAACCTTGAATGTTTTATTTGTTTATTATGTACGTTGTTTTTATACTTATTTAGGGGCATACTGTCAGTATCCATTCTTTGGACCTGTATGTTCTTTAGAATATTTAATCTAATAAATTTTATCTATCTAAATATGTATTAAAATATAAAATATTATAATGTATATAATTTCTTTAATAAGTTATAATTTTGGTTACTGTTTTAATTATTTGTTTGTTTATACTTATGTTACTATTTAGTATTTCTTTAGAGCGTCTACTTAAAAGTGACGATAATTTATTCTATGAATGTTTTTATGAAAGTCAATCATCATTTACTGATGAAATAACACTAATAATCGATAAACGAGATAAGTGGGAGATTTCAATTACCGATAGAAAAACTTCTTACGAAACTTCTTGTGAAAATTACTTCGTAAATCATTACATTAAATCTGGAAGAAAGATTATGTCGCTAAGTGTTTTTAAAAATATTTTAAGTGATGAAGAAAAACATCTTTTCATTCAATGTTCAACTAATGTTCGCTTTGTCTACCTTTATGAACCAATTAAATTTGAAGGATGGAAGCCGAAAGATAAGATAGAAAGGTTGTCGATATATATCTCACGTCATTTTATAACGAAAAAAGATTTTGAAGAAAACTTTCTTTCGTGGATTAATCTTTGTGAAATATTAGAAATTTCACTTCACGACGACACTGATTTTATTGAACATATTTATGAATGGATTCGTTGTTCGAATATCAAAAAGTTGTGGATTTTGTACCGTGGAAAACATTTTTATAACCGTAAGAAACTAAAAAACTTTATAAGACCGAAAAAATGTTTAATATTTTAAAAATATATAATAAAAACAGTACTCATAAAATAATGAATGAAGTATTTAATGTGTCATTTTGTAATTAAGTATTATATTACTGTATAATTTTATATAAAAACTTTTTTTAAATATTATTATTATTAATACTATTATTATTGATATTAATGAGTCACATGTTTTTATATATTTTCATTAATTTTTAAAATAAATGGTTTCAAATATAAAAATTATTCAGTTCATCGTTTAATCAACTTGATTCTTATTACATTTATTACGAATTGATTTAAAAATATATTAACTAAAACAGTTTTTGATATATATTTTATGTTATATTAGAGGTTTTAAAATTTTGAAAATATGTAACCTTATCTGGAAAGTTTTAATATTAAATTTATTATTTTATAATTTATTTATTTTTAAATAGTATTATATATAATATGTTTTATGTTAAAAGTTTTGCAGTTAGTTGAAACTTTGTAATAAAAAAATAAAAATTGCATTCATTTTAGAATTAGGGGAAGTGGAGGCAAAACCGCCCTCGTAACGTTTTGATTAATGTTATATGAAAATAAAAGCGAAATGTGTTTTTTAGCAGTTTGTTTCAATAACTACATTATTAAACTTTAAATTAATGCAACCCGACGGGCATTTGTTTAAACATTAATGTTTAAAAGACGTTTAAAAGACATTTAAAATACATTTAGATCGTAACTTTTAAAAACAAATGCCCGTCGGGAATTGAGAAAAAAATTAAACAGTTTTTCAAAATGTTAATACATAAAAATTACATTAGTGAAAAAACGGTTTTGCCCCCATTGTGAGACACAACCACAGCCTCACAAAAATAGTTGGGTGTACACTTTTCTTGGTACATCTTCTTTACAATTATCACAGCTCAGATTATTTGCTGATTTTGTTGCAGGTTTTCATACTTTGAAAGCATTCTTTGTATTTACAGTCTGAGTTTTCTCATTCGATATACTCTTAGCGTTATATTTTAATCATATAATTTTTAAGTCGGTTTTGCCCAGAGAACAGTTTTTAGGAAAAGTACAGTTTCATAGCTTGCTTATTAGGTTATGTTAATATCAAAAATGGTTTTCACTTGATGAAATAACGCTGGTAACATATCTTTAACTCTAAAATCATAAATAAAACAAATATGATCTAAATATAATATTTTTATCAAAATAAACATTATGCACAACTTCTCAGAAACATAACAGGCACTTTTTTTGAAATAAGCGAAATGAAGGAAACTATTTTACTAAAGCGTGGTATGTTTTTTGCCATACTTGATAACATTTTTCAAAGAAAAATGTTATCTAATATGAATTTTTCATAATAGATGACATTTTTCAATTTCTCTAAAACCTCGGCCTTGCTTGTCAAGGTTCGTGTTTCGGAATTTATGAGTTGAGAGAGGGTTGTACCACGATTTACAACAACAACAAAAAAAAAAAAAAAAAAAAAGTAGCCTCCTCGACTGTAGTGGCCCCCCTCGGAGGTGAATAATTAAAAAAAAAAAATTTGGGGTAAAGTCTCTAATATTGTCGAAAAAAAGTTATTCAAAAGTATTTCAACCTGGGTCTCAAAGAAGCGTATTTTCATAGAGATTTCAAAAATTTTATTCGTTTTTAATAAAAGTAAGTACTTTTTGTATTATTGCTGAAAAACATTTTGTTCAAATTTTTTAAAGAGTCTTTAGCATTTTTTTCCATAATTTTTTTGTTCATAAGTTTTAAGAAAAAATATTTACGTTTTCCAAAATCTCTATGAAAATACGAGACCCAGGTTGACATATTTTTAAATAACTTTTTTTTCGACAATATTAGGGATTTTACTCCAAATACTAATGATTTGAACCCAAATATCTTTACAACTTGAGGTGATGGTGAAAATTGAGTTGCATGTTTGAAATTAATATGAGAAATACTATAAAAAAAACTAATTGTTTGATCGGCACCATTTTTTTTTTGTTGGCCTGTGTAATATAAAAAGTTTACAAATGTTTTTTTTTTTTTTTTTTTTTTTTTTTACATATTTTTTTATTTTTATTTATAAACATTTTGTTTTTGTGTTTTTAAATTTTATATTTTTTTGTGTTTTTAAGTTGTTGTTTTTTTTTGTGTGTTTTTTGGTTATAATTTTTTTTTTTTTGGTTTTTTGTTTTTTTATATAAAGGCTGTTGTGCGAAAGGAAATCGTTAGTTTAGATAAGGTTTTGCAAAAGGTAGTAAAAGTAATTCAAAACTGTTATTTTTTTATGAAAAAGGATTTTTATTAAAACAAATAAAAAATTACAGGACGGTAACACTAAATTTACTCTTCGAACTCTATAGATAGCACTTATATTTTAAATAAAGATTTCTTTTTTTGTTAAAAACTTGAATGAACTTAATGAACTCACCGTACCTTTGAACCCTTTTTGAAAAATATTCCGTACTTTTGGACCTCGATATAAAATACTGTATTCTGAATATTTATTTATTATCCTTGGCAGTTTATATGTGTTCAACATATTCGCACTAAGATTATAGTTATCATTTTTATTTAACTCAAACTTATTATTAAAGCTTATAGGAGAGATATTGTGATTGTAACGATACATGAAAATTAAATGCTAATAGATATTTATTTCAAATACATTCATCATTTTCATATCTTTCATCAAGGGACTAGCGTGTTCCCGCCTATTTTTAAAGTAAATGATTCTACAAGCATGTTTCTGAAAACTATAAAGTTTCTTAAGCTTTGCTGTTTGAGTACTTGCCCATGAAATATTTGTATAGCTGATGAGACTGTGAATTAGCCCAAAGTAGATTAATTTAAGACAATTTGTATTGATGTATGAGCGAACTCGATACATTAAATCTATAATTTTGGTAATTTTTGACTGGATAATATTATATGAGGAAGCCAGGATAATTTTTCATTAACAACGATTCTCAAGAATCTTATATTGGATTGCTTTTTAATTAATTTATCATTTATAAATAGGTTCGGCAACTTGAGAGGAAGATTTTCTTCTTGTGTTTTTTTATGAAAAAGTATATAGTTTGTTTTTTCGGCATTAAGTGAGAGTTTGTTAGCCTTAAACCAGTTATTTACTTTATTTAGTTCAATATTCATTTCCGCATATAATTTCTTGATATCGTTGTTGGTAAGAAATAAATTCGTGTCATCTGCAAACATGACTGAATTAAGTTTTAAGAATGCATTACAGAAGTCATTTATATATATTAAAAAAAGAAGTGGACCAAGAATCGATCCTTGCGGAACTCCTCATATGACATTTAACACTTCAGATTGGGCATTATTTACATGTTGCTTTCTGTTTGTAAGATAGCTTCTAATCCAATAATAAGCTTTATTAATTATTCCGTAATGTCTTAATTTATCTAAGAGAATACAGTGGTCCACTGTATCAAATGCTTTTGATAAATCAAGAAATACTCCTTAAAAAAATTTATTATTTTCAAAACCATTAGTTATTTGATTTACTATTTCAATGATTGCATGCTCAGTAGAGAGATTTTTTTGAAAACCAAACTGATTTGGGTAAAAAAAATTGTTTTTAATGAAGTAATCATAGATTCTATAATAAACTACACGTTCGAATAGTTTTGAAAATACAGAAAGTACTGATATAGGCCTGTAGTTTGTAATGTCAGAATGATCATTACATTTGAACAATGGAGTTACTTTTGCTAATTTAAGTACATCCGGAAATATCCCAGAATTTAACGAAAGCTTTAGTATATGTATTAGAGGTCTTTTAAGACAATGTTTGTTTGCAATAACTATATTACTAGATATCTCATCAAATCCTTTGTTTTTTTTAACGAGGAAAAAGCTGCCTCGAATTCCTCATAGGTTAATTCATAATCAAGCATGATAACATTGTTCGTTGGTTTAAGGAAGGTTTTAAATGATACAGGTGTTGGTACTATTTTTTTACAAGATTTGGACCAATACTGGTAAAATATTTATTGAGTTCTTCCAAAATTTGTTTTTGACTAAATATATCGTTTTTTTCAATAACAATTCGTTTAGGTAGAGAAGGTGAATTTAGTTTTTCTCTTCCCATTAAGACATTGATGATGGACCATGTTTTTTTGCAATCAAATTTGGATTTGTTAATTTGATTACTGTAATATTTTTTTTTTGCATTTTTAATGAGATCTTGGTAAAAATATTTATAATTTTTGTAATTTTTTTCATTATCATTGTTTTTATTTTTCAGAAATTTATTGTAAAGTTTTTGCTTTTTTTTTGAGCACTTTAATAACGATTTATCCATCCACGGATTAGCGATTGCTTTTGACTTATTTTTATAATATCTTGACGACATGTTTCATTAAAGTACTCCAAAAATGTACTTAAAAAAGCATTGTATGCTCCATTCGTATCTTGACATTTATATACATTGTTCCATGTTTCTTGTTTTAGTCTATTTGTTAATTTATTAGTGTTACTCATTTTTAAATTTCGTTTTTTCAAATGTATGATTTTTGAATGACAATCAGTCATAGCTTTTAGACTTTTTGTTTTTATGAAAACCGGAAAATGATCACTAATATCTGTCATAAATATACCGGTTTCAAATGTCGTTTCTAAATAATTATTAATAAAAATATTGTCTAATGCTGTTGCCGAGGTTTTTGTTACTCGCGTTGGTTTATTAATAGTTGACAAGACATTAAATTTAAAAAGCATATCAAAAAAGATCTTATTTTTGGAAACTTTGTGTTAGAAAGAGCATCAAGATTTATGTCACCAGTAATATATAATGTTTTATTTTCTTTATTAATTTTTATAATCGTATTTTTGATAAAAGTTTCTTATTTTTCCACTCGGTGGACGATAAACACATCCAACTAAAACGTTTCGGTATTTTTTATTAATAACTTCAATGAAAAGACTTTCATAATTATTATTAGAAAAACATAGTATGTTTTTTATCTTGAAAGCATACTTTTCCAAGACATAAATTCCTAATCCTCCTCCTTTTTTCCCACCACCTCGTGGTTGACTAATGATTTGTATAATGGTAAAGTATAATTAGAATTTAATTCAAGAGTACTTTCTGTATCATGCCAAGTCTCTGAAAGAGATTAAAAATTCTTTAAGTTTATCAAAATTTTGCTGC